GGCACTAGGGTTGAGTCTCACTGTTGGCACTAGGGTGAGTCTCAGCACTAGGGGAGTCTCACTGTTGGCACTAGGGTGAGTCTCACTGTTGGCACTAGGGTGGAGTCTTACTGTTGGCACTAGGGTGATGGTGATGACCTACCGTCATGGCACTCGGGTGGAAGTAGTGATGGCCTACCGCACTGTTGGCACTCGGGTGGAGTAGTGATGACCTACCGTGCACTGTTGGCACTCGGGTGAGGTGATGACCTACCGCACTGTGGCTCGGGTGGAGTAGTGATATACCGCACTGATGGCACTCAGTGGAGTAGTGATGACTACCGTACTGATGGCACTCGGGTGGAGGTGACCGATGGCATCGGGTGGAGTGGTGATGACCTACCGTACTGATGGCACTCGGGTGGAGTAGTGATGACCGCACTGATGGCACTCGGGTGGAGTTGATGACCACCGTACTGTTGGCACTCGGGTGGGTGATGTACTGTTTCTCCGGGTGGAGTAGTGATGACCTACCGTACTGATGGCACTTGGAGTAGTGATGACCTACCGTACTGATGGCACTCGGTGGAATGATGACCTACCGTACTGTTGGCACTCCGGGTGGGATGACCTACCGTACTGATGGCACTCGGTGGTGAGGATGACCTACCGTACTGATGACTCGGGTGGTGATGACCTACCGTACTGATGGCACTCGGGTGGAGTAGTGATGACCTACCGTACTGATGGCACTCGGGTGGAGTAGTGATGACCTACCGTACTGATGGCACTCGGGTGGAGTAGTGATGACCTACCGCACTGATGGCACTCGGGTGGAGTAGTGATGACCTACCGTACTGATGGCACTCGGGTGGATAGTGATGACCTACCGTACTGATGGCACTCGGGTGGAGTAGTGATGACCTGTACTGATGGCACTCGGGTGGAGTAGTGATGACCTACCGTACTGATGGCACTCGGGTGATGATGACCTACCGTACTGATGGCACTCGGGTGTGGGTAGTGATGACCTCGTACTGATGGCACTCGGGTAGTGATGACCTACCGTACTGATGGCACTCGTGGAGTAGTGATGACCTACCGCACTGATGGCACTCGGGTGGAGTAGTGATGACCTACCGTACTGATGGCACTCGGGTGGAGTAGTGATGACCTACCGTACTGATGGCACTCGGGTGGGTGGTGATATACTGTTGGCACCGGGTGGAGTAGTGATGACCTCCGCGATGGCACTCGGGTGGAGTAGTGATGACCACCGTACTGATGGCACTCGGTGGTGATGGGCTACCGCACTGATGGCACTCGGGTGGAGTAGTGATGACCTACCGTACTGATGGCACTCGGGTGGGTAGTGATGACCTACCGCGTGCTCAGGTGGAGTAGTGATGACCTACCGTACTGATGGCACCGTGGTGGAAGTGATGACCTACCGTACTGTTGGCACTCGGGTGGAGTGATGACCTACCGTACTGATGGCACTCGGGTGGAGTAGTGATGACCTCACTGATGGCACTCGGGTGGAAGTGATGACCTACCGCACTGAGTGGCACTCGGGTGGAGTAGTGATTGACCTCGGTGTTGGTGACACTGTGGCTCGGGTGGAGTGTGATGACCTACCGTACTGTTGGCACTCGGGTGGAGTAGTGATGACCTACCGTACTGATGGCTCTGGTGGAGTAGTGATGACCTACCGCACTGATGGCACTCGGGTGGAGTAGTGATGACCTACCGCACTGATGGCACTCGGGTGGATGATGACCTACCGCACTGATGGCACTCGGGTGGAGTAGTGACCTACCGCACTGATGGCACTCGGGTGGGAGTGGCCTCCCAGTGGCACTGGTGGGTGGCCTACCGCACTGATGCTCGGGTAGTAGTGATGAACCTACCGCACTGATGGCACTCGGGTGGAGTAGTGATGACCTACCGTACTGTTGGCACTCGGGTGGAGTAGTGATGACCTACCTACTGATGGCACTCGGTGGAGTGATGACCTCTGCTGCATTGGCACTCGGGGAAGTGTTCACCTTTGGTGGCACTCGATGACATCTACTGTCTTGGCACTCGGTGGAGTAGTGATGACCTACCGTACTGTTGCGGTGGTATTTCTAGCGTATTGGCACTCGGGTGGAGTGGTGATGACCTACCGTACTGATGGCACTCGGTGGTGAGTAGTGATGACCTACCGTACTGATGGCACTCGGTGGGTAGTGATGACCTACCGTACTGTGGCACTCAGGTGGAGGTGATGACCTACCGTTGTGGCATCGGGTGGAGGGTGATGACCACCTGATGGCACTCGGGTGGAGTAGTGATGACCTACCGTACTGATGGCACTCGGGTGGAGTAGTGATGACCTACCGTACTGATGGCACTCGGGTGGAGTAGTGATGACCTACCGTACTGTTGGCACTCGGGTGAAGTAGTGTGCTGTGGCATAGTGTTGTTGGGTGGATGTGGATCCGTACTGATGGCACTCGGGTGGAGTAGTGATGACCTACGTACTGATGGCACTCGGGTGGGTAGTGATGACCTACCGTACTGATGGCACTCCGGTGGAGTAGTGATGGTGCGTGGGTGATGACCTACCGTACTGTGGCACTCGGGTGGAGTAGTGATGACCTACCGTACTGTTGGCACTCGTGGTGGAGTAGTGATGAGGGTGACCCTACCGTACTGATGGCACTCGGGGTGGAGTAGTGATGACCTACCGTACTGATGGCACTCGGGTGGATAGTGATGACCTACCGTACTGTTGGCACTCGGGTGGAGTAGTGATGACCTACCGTACTGATGGCACTCGGGTGGAGTAGTGATGACCTACCGCACTGATGGCTCTGGTGGGTAGTGATCCGTACTGATGGCACTCGGGTGGAGTAGTGATGACCTACCGTACTGTTGGCACTCGGGTGGAGTAGTGATGACCTACCGCTGGGCACTCGGGTGGAGTAGTGATGACCTACCACTGATGGCACTCGGTGAGTAGTGATGACCTACCGTACTGATGGCACTCGGGTGGGTGGTGATGATGACCTACCGTACTGATGGCACCGGGTGGACCTGTTGCTGTCTGATGGTGGAGTAGTGATACTACACTGATGGCACTCGGGTGGAGTAGTGATGACCACGGCTCGATGGCACTTCGGTGGAGTAGTGATGACCTACCGCGGTGGCACTCGGTGGGTAGTTGCGTGGCACGGGGAGGTGATGACCTACCGTACTGTTGCTCCGGTGATGGTGATGACCTACCGTACTGTTGGCACTCGGGTGGAGTAGTGATATACCGTACTGATGGCACTCGGGTAGGTGATGACCTACCTTGCATGTGGAGCTGGGCAGGTGGGTGGTGACACTACCGACAGCACTCGGGTGGAGTAGTGATGACCTACCGTACTGATGGCACTCGGGTGGAGTGATGACCTACCGTACTGATGGCACTCGGGTGGAGTAGTGATGACCTACCGTACTGATGGCACTCGGGTGGAGTAGTGATGACCTACCCGTAGCAGTGATGGCTGATGGCACTCGGGTGGAGTAGTGATGACCTACCGTACTGATGGCACTCCGGGGTGGTGGTGACCTACGCACTGATGGCACTCGGGTGGAGTAGTGATGACCTCGCACTGATGGCACTCGGTGGTGTTGTCCTGTGGCACTCGGGGAGTATGAACCTACGCTCGGGTGGAGTAGTGATGACCTACCGTTCACTGATGGGGCACTCGATGGGTAGGAGAGTAGTGACCTACCGTACTGATGGCACTCGGGTGGAGTAGTGATGACCTACCGCACTGATGGCACTCTCGGTGAGTAGTGATGACCTACCGCACTGATGGCACTCGGGTGGAGAGGATGACCTACCGCACTGATGGCACTCGGGTGGAGTAGTGATGACCTACCGTACTGTTGGCACTCGGTGGAGTAGTGATACCTACGTACCGATGGCACTCGGTGGAGTAGTGATGACCTACCGTACTGATGGCACTCGGGTGAGTAGTGATGACCTACCGTACTGTTGGCACTCGGGTGAGTAGTGATACCTACCGTACTGATGGGCACCGGGTGGAGTAGTGATGACCTACCGTACTGATGGCACTCGGGTGAGTAGTGATGACCTACCGTACTGATGGCACTCGGGTGGAGTAGTGATGACCTACCGTACTGTTGGCACTGGTGGAGTAGTGATGACCTACCGCACTGTTGGCACCGGTGGAGTATGACCTACCGTACTGTTGGCACTCGGGTGGAGTAGTGATGACCTACCGTACTGATGGCACTCGGGGAGTAGTGATGACCTACCGTACTGTTGGCACTCGGGTGAGTAGTGATGACCTACCGTACTGATGGCACTCGGGTGGAGTAGTGATGACCACCGTACTGTTGGCACTCGGGTAGTGATGACCTACCGTACTGATGGCACTCGGGTGGAGTAGTGATGACCTACCGTACTGATGGCACTCGGGTGGAGTAGTGATGACCTACCGTACTGATGGCACCTGCGGAGTAGTGATGACCTACCGTACTGTTGGCACTCGGGTGGAGTAGTGATGACCTACCGTACTGATGGCACTCGGGTGGAGTAGTGATGACCTACCGTACTGATGGCACTGCGGAGTAGTGATGACCTACCGTACTGTTGGCACTCGGGTGGAGTAGTGATGACCTACCGCACTGTTGGCACTCGGGTGGAGTAGTGATGACCTACCGTACTGTTGGCACTCGGGTGAGTAGTGATGACCTACCGTACTGATGGCACTCGGGTGGAGTAGTGATGACCTACCGTACTGTTGGCACTCGGGAGTAGTGATGACCTACCGTACTGATGGCACTGTGGAGTAGTGATGACCTACCGTACTGTTGGCACTCGGGTGGAGTAGTGATGACCTACCGTACTGATGGCACTCGGGTGGAGTAGTGATGACCTACCGTACTGATGGCACTCGGGTGGAGTAGTGATGACCTACCGTACCTGATGGCACTCGGGTGGAGTAGTGATGACCTACCGTACTGATGGCACTCGGGTGGAGTAAAGCGGTGCAGCTGAGTACTAGGGTAGAGCCGCTCCTGATGAAGAGCTCGCTGGGGCCTGGGATCTTGGCGGCTGGCACTGTGGCACCATGGAGAGGGGCGGGGGGACAACACGTTAGTATGGGCAGTAATGACAAGAGAGATACATTATTTACTTTCGTTTATCTCTCTCTCTCTATCTCTCTATCTCACTATCTATCCATCTTCCTCGATCATGTTTCTTTATCCATCTTCATCTATCATGCCTTTCTATCCATCTCTCCACACACACACACACACACACACACACAACACGCTCCTACACTTCAACATGTTATTTATATCTGAGAGGCGGAGGAAGTTAGAGGCGGGAAGAAAGACGAAAGTGAGTTTGGATGAAAACAGGAAGAGGGAATGTGTGAGGGGAACTGTCAACACGAACAAATATAGGAAGAGACACAGACAGGAAGAGGAGGAGGAAGAAGAAGAAGAGGAGGAGGAGGAGGAGGAGGAGGAGGAGGAGGGAAGGAGAAGGAGGAGGAAGAAGACCTAACCTAACCTAACCTAAATATCTGCCAAAGTTCACATAAATGATAAGACCGCCGCAGGACCTGATGCGGAAGAATCCTAACAATAAGAAGTATTAAAAGTTTTCAACTACAAATGATAATCCTCCGTTGTCAACTTCCGGAGAGACTGCCAGACGAGCCTACAGGGAAACAGTGTGTGTGTGTGTGTGTGTGTGTGTGTGTGTGTGTGTGTGTGTGTGTGTGTGTGTTTATCAATACTAAGGAAGAGTCTGGCTGATATGTTGCTATGTGGGTTTGTGTGTTTACCCATCAGTGTGTCCCTACGGTTCGAACTCTTGAAACTATTGTCTTCAAACTTAAGGGTTAGCTCACTCGAGAGCCCATCTGGTGGAGTCTTAGCTCTTGTTTGACTTAAGAGGAGCATCATGAAGTATTGACTCGTGGAAGACCTGTCGATTTCTCTGTGTATATTTTACTCTGTATCACGTGGAGATTAGATGCACTAAATTGTTTCATCTGATGATTTAACGCTAACCTAACCTAACCTAACCTAATCTAACCCAACCTAACCTATCGTTGATCAAGGTTAGCATAATATAGATCTGTTCAGTCCACAGTTTTGTTTTGACTGTCTATCTTAATATCTCAAGCTATACTTTCACAGCCAGGAAAAAAAAATCACAGCTTTTATAAAATGTTACTCGTAAACAGTATTGAAAGGTCAGGTGTATTGACAGGTCAGCCGGAAGACTAAAAACAGGTCGCTAACGCAGGTGAGGTTAGACTATCCGGTGAGTGGAACGTCGGATAAATGAACATTCGGATAAATAAGCGTTCGGATAAATAAGCGTTCGATTAAATGAAACCTATATATATAATCGTTCGGATAAATAAAACTAAGGATAAATAAGCGTTCGAATAGGGAAACTCCTGACATACAAGTATTCGGATAAATGAACACGCGGTATATAGACCTGTCCTTGAAGTGTCAGCGGTATATTAAAGGCTACAACTACACAGTCACACACTACAGTTAGCCGCTGACCTCCTCCATGCAGGTGTCAGTCAGTCAGTCAGTCAGTCAGTCCACAACCCCACACGCATTACAGTTAGCCACCGACCTCCTTCCTGCAAGTGTCAGGTGTCAGTCAGTCAGTCAGTCAGATGGCGTATATGTTGAGGAATGGACATCTCAACAAGTTAGACCAGCCACCACCCCCAGAAACTTCCGTGGAGTAAGTTGGAAGCTAATCTCAAACTTCCACCTCCTGGAGTCCTTTGTCAATAACTCAGGTAATCACTTCTCCTTCGCCTAAGAGAAACTCCTCAGCAGGTTGTATGATCATCCCCCTACCCTCACCCTCACCACCCCCTCTCTCCCCTCTACCTACTTCTTCTTCATCCACTCTTAAGACGCCAATACACCTGGAGTGATATCGCCCATACGACTTGGGGTTATAAATCTTGAAGCATAAGTGTCCAAGGAAATATTAGATTCACCTTAAGAACAATTATCCTAACCTACCCTAACCTAACCTAACCTAACCTAACCTAACCTAACCTAACCTAACCTAACCTAACCTAACCTAATTTAACTTAACTTAACCTTAACGTGATCCTCTTTAAAACTAGTTGTGTTTCAGTTAGTATAAGGCAGGGCAGCCTCCTTACCCAACAGTCTAAGAAGGTTGGAGTCTCAGCGAGTAAGGGCGCCCCGAGTCGACCCAGCTGCAGAACGGGTACCTAACTTAAAAGCCTGGGGCAATGATAGCGGAGTATAGCACAGGGTCAGATGTGTTACCTCTTTTGTGTACTAAAGACCCACACCCGCTCTTCCTTCCTTGCGCTGTATCCAAACTCCTTTTATGGAACTCACTATTACTGAAAGACCTCGCCCGCTAGTCTGTGTGTGACCGGAGGCGAGATTGAATATACTCAAGGTCCTATTTGTGAATTTTTATATATATATTTTTATTTGGTAAAGAAGAGTTCTTGGTGGAGATTAATAGACGTTCTTGAATGTTTATGTTTATATATATATGTCCTGCTAGGTATCAGCCCCCCCTCCCCCCCCTTCCTTATTCCCAAGTCGACAGCCCAAGAGAACGTGAGTTTGTTTATACCTGAGCATCATCCACACAACAACAACAACAAGGTCTATTATTCGGCACCACACTCGATCACATTCCATTCTGTCTCTGAATAACTTTAAAACATGAATTAAATCCCTCTGGAATTAGTCTTGTGTTCATATGGTCGTTTTGTCAAGCCTGTGTGTGTGTGTGGGTGGGTGGGTGGTGGTGATAACTTAGCCGTGGTGCAGAACGTGACTAAGAAGCCTTCACACCGCCCTTGACGACCCAAACTTGTGACAATTGCTTCATATATATGTGCACACAACACTACCACACCTACCTACCTACCTTCTCTTCTCCCTCACTAGTTTGATCCATCTCTCTCTCTATCTCTCTCTCTCACACACACACACACACACACACACACACACACACACACACACACACACACACACACACACACACACACACACACACACACCCAGCCACCAGCCACCCAGCCACCCACCCACAACACACACACACACACACACACACACACACACACACACACACACACACACACACACACACACACACACACACACCCAGCCACCCACCCACCCACCCACCACCCACCCACCACCCACACACACACACACACACACACACACACACACCCAGCCACCCACACACACACACACACACACACACACACACACACACACACACACACACACACACACACACACACACACACACACACACACACACACACACACACACACACACACACTTTATTCCCATTCTGTATTCAAATTTCTAAGTCTCATTTATCTACCGGCTAATTACCGCAGCGGACACTTACCATACCTCTTATAGTACAGTACACGAGAGTAGCTGGAAACCGTGTCTGTGTGTTTGTATGTCTGTTGTATTGTGGTTGTGTATTATTGTCATACGTGGTTGTGTATGGCTGTGTATGCCTACATGTTAATGATAGGATGATTTAAGGTTAGGTTTGGTTTGGTTGACGTTAGGGTGTTGTTCAAAGCTAAGCTAAAATAATCCGAAGGGACTGATCTTCAGGTGATCCGTATAGAAACATAATCTTTTTCACCCGTGTCGTGAAGGCCACAGGTGAAAATCAAGTTAATATCAAGTGTTGCAATACTCTCTGCAACAACAGGTATATGACGTATTTTAACCACTCTGTTGCAATCACCTAGTGGACAGAGGTGACGTGGAATCGGTGTTTGCAAAAGCCGAAATGTTTTAACACGCGGATCATCAATTTCGGAAAAAAAACTGAGTTGTATTGCTCGTCTGTCTCGGCTTTGTGTGTCGTATATCACTGGTTGAGCTGTGGAGAGAGAGAGAGAGAGAGAGACATGAACACCCACCTACCCATGAATTCCTCTATGGACTCTGTAGCCTTTGAAGAGTACAAGGGACTGAGATTAACACCCATGCTTGTGAATACCTATAGCCAGATGGTTTTGTAAAGGGCAATAGGAACAGATAAATCCCCCTTGGCCTATCTTTCCTATCGCCTCAGAGGTGTATACGCTTTCAGTTTTATGGATGTTGGTTGGGTTTCTAGAGCTAATTGCCATAGTGTAGTCAAGATGTGTATATGATAACTCAGGTGTTTTCTGTGTGTGTGTGTGTGTAGGGAAGTAAATGCTCGCACCACACACACACCACACACACACACACACACATCCGCACACACACACACACATCCACAAGACCTCTTCAAGACAGTGGACAGTGGTAGGGGAGCTCCGTTAACCCGCCTTTGTCTGAGTTAGGAAAGATTCAGGAAAAGATTTATATATTACAGCTGACTCCCTCTCACCCCTTCCCTCCCTCCCTCCCTCCGTCCCTCCGTCTCTCTCTCTCTCCCTCCTTCCTCCCTCCCTCCTCCTCTTTCCTCTCTCTCCCCCCTCCTTCTCTTCCTCTCTCATATTCTGGGCAACGAGAAAAAGACCGGACAGTTCTCTCTATTCGCTTTGTATTCTTCCTTGACTTTTGATTCTCCTAGTAATAAAAATGAAGGTATATCATCCAGCTATTGTGATGTCTGAAACTCGGATGTATTCTTACTTTTTGCGTAAGATTTCGTAAGTTCGTCAAGGTTATATTGTACTTTAGCCATGGTGTTGTTACGAAAATTTCCATGCCGTGTTTCATGCGTTACTTGGGCATCAGGTTAACGTTATGAAGCTGTGTGTTTTAGAGTCTATGGTCAAAACAGCAACAACTTCACTTAACACACACACTGGGATGCTTAAAATCAACACGTAGTCCTTTCCATTATATAAAATAAATAAATAAATAAATAAAATCCCCAGAAAAAGGATTGAAATGCTTTAAAGGTCGATTCGGAATCCCACAATGCAATGGTGGAGTAGAGTGCTATAATGAATACTGTACCATAAACACGCTTAATGAAATCCCTCCACTAATTAAAATAACACGACTCTAATACTGGAACTGAAGGTTATTTCCCTGAGATTCTCTACCTGAACGAAATTAAACACAATATCAAAAACATAGATTAAATTTTCATGTTTATAATTCCACAATAAAAGATGAAAAATTATTCTGTATGTAAATAAATGTTTTCCTTGTGGTTTTAGTTATAAGATGCTACTGTGTGTTGTTGTAGGAATTACCTCAGTGTAATACAATGCCTCGACTGAACTAAGACACTTGAGAAATTATTCTAACTCGCCTCAACAAGTCCAATTAGGTTTAGCGTTTGTGTGTGTGTGTGTGTGTGTGTGCGCGCGTTTATCTACCTCACGGTTTATTCAATTATGTAGAGAAGCACAAGATGATGAGAGAGAGAGAGAGAGAGAGAGAGAGAGAGAGAGAGAGAGAGAGAGTTTAACCTACAAAACTTTCCTGCTCTCATAAAAACCCGGATATATAAGCGATACTTCAGGGTTGTCAGCGAGTGAATCCACCCTCTTTATCTCAGACTTCCCTTCCACTTAAAGTTCTCATTGACTTAGGATGATAAAACTGGTTAGGTTTAGGTTTAGGTTATAGTTATGACGATTTAAATGTTGTACTGTATATTCTCGTGTTGTGAGGGTTAATACAACTCATTAATTGCCTCTACAGAACTACAGGATTCGTGTCTGTAGCTACATTATATTTCTCCCTGTCTATCATGGGCGAGGACTCTTTTTACAAGTCGTTAATTGGTACAGTGTCGCTCAGGTGTGTTTAGTGTCGCTCAGGTGTGTTACAGTGTCGTTCAGGTGTGTTACAGTGTCGTTCAGGTGTGTTACAGTGTCGTTCAGGTGTGTTACAGTGTCGTTCAGGTGTGTTACAGTGTCGTTCAGGTGTGTTACAGTGTCGTTCAGGTGTGTTACAGTGTCGTTCAGGTGTGTTACAGTGTCGTTCAGGTGTGTTACATTATATCCCACCCGTCTTCCCTGGACTTTGAAGATAAAACCCCCTCGGCTGCTGCATTTTCTTCACTGCTGAGATTTTTCGCTTCAAGGTGCAGTATTTTCCGCTGCTTGACTGAGAGAGCCACTTTGTCCTGAACGTCTGAGAAATCAAGAAGCTCGTCCTCATCTGTGTCTCATTTGTGTCTCTAGCCCACACAAGAAACCTAAAAATGGTGGGCAAATAACTGTATATTGTCGATATGAATAGTTGTGTGTCGATGTGAATAGTTGTGTGTCGATATGAATAGTTGTGTGTCGACATGGGCAGCTGTGTGTCGACGTGAACAGCTGTGTACTCGAACGTAAACTCAGCTTTGTATCGATACAAACGCGGCCTTCCTGAACGTATAAACAAAACCATCCTCGTATCAACACCCAACAGCTGTATTGCCCAAATAAAAGATCACCTTTGTATCCGAAAACTTCCAAGGCAGATCAGTAGTATGTTTAACTAATAATAACAATGGAAATTTTACCTTTTAAAAGACATGTTGACACAGAATACACACACACACACACATACACACACACACACACACACACACACACACACACACACACACACACACACACACACACACACACACACACACACACACACACACACACACACACACACACCGGGGATCTTAGCTACAGCCCTGCGTGTGTGTGGAGAGGCACTATAAGCTCTAACATACTGCCTGTGAACTTGTGCACGGGCAGGTTTCGACAATATGTGTGGTAGTGGTGTGAGTTTACTGACACAACATAACAAGACTTAAGGGGAAACGAGAGTGTATGTCCTAACCTATGATCTGAAGGACACGTATAGGACACTTTATAGAAAATCATGTGGTGTGAGCAAACGACACAACACACGAATGGGACATGACGTGTGTGTGGAGGAGGAATGTTTTGTGTACGGCGACGACAGACAACGGTCAGGACGGTCAGAACACGACAGAGATAGGACCTAACACAGCATCTGGTAGTAGTGTGGATTGATGAGACACAACACAGCAAGTACAGCAGTGTAAGGAGAGGACGTAACACAGCATGGTCCACACAGCAGACACAGCACACACACACACACACACACACACACACACACACACACACACACCAGACTGACTGACTGACTGACTGACCGTGGACTGTGAGGGAGACAGGGCGCGACAGCTTCGGCCTTGTGTTGACCTGACACTCATAAACACCGGAGTCATTCCTGAGGGCGGCAGCCACCTCCAGCGTGTAGGACGAGCTGGTATTGTCGATCACCACCTGCCGAGGGGCACGCACCAGCTGTGAGTCAGGTGTTAGGGTGAGGGAGGGATAGGAGGAATTTCAGGTGAGGAAGGTGGTAGGGAGGGAAATTTCTATGTGGGGAGGGAATTTTCAGGTGAGGGAGGGAGGTAGAGAGAGAAATATCTAGGTGAGGGAGGGAGGTAGAGGTGAAATATCTATAGGTGAGGGAGGGCCAGGGAGGGAATTTTCAGGTGAGGGAGGTGGTAGGTGATAGGGAATGAAATACCTAGGTGAGGGAGGGGGAGGGCGAGTTAGTCATTCTCTCAACTCTTATTCTAACCACAAGCTTCGGTAAGGAGAGGAAAATACCACGAGACGATAATGTATTAGAACCTCTTCATGTTTACCCAGCGTCTTGAGCTTCTGAAACGTGAAATAATAGACACAAAGAAGGTTACTGTCACTCTCTTCCCTTCAATACAGTAACTGGGCCTTCAATACAGTAACTGGGCCTTCAATAAAGTAACTGGGTCTTCAATAAAGTAACTGGGCCTTCAATACAGTAACTGGGCCTTCAATAAAGTAACTGGGCCTTCAATAAAGTAACTGGGTCTTCAATAAAGTAACTGGGCCTTCAATACAGTAACTGGGCCTTCAATACAGTAACTGGGCCTTCAAAAAAGTAACTGGGCCTTCAATAAAGTAACTTGGCCTTACCTTGAACCTGTCGTCAGAGGTAAAGGTGAGGTCGTTGGCAGAGATGACGTGTAGGTCGCGCTGACGGATCCACGACACCTACAGGAAAGGTGTTGTTAATGAGTTGAGTTACCTGCGTCGTCTCGTGATTTATCTCCTCATGGTTAAAGGTTTAGGTACTCCTGTTTATGTCACCTGATGGTTAAACACCCTTAACCTAACCTAACCTAAGTCTTGATCAATAGTAAGGAGGGTATTACTCACAGATCGACCCCTGAGCTTGGTGACGACGCAGGGCAGAGCGGCTGGTTCACCCTCCATCACGGTGATGTTATTAGGTAGTGTCTCGTCGAACTCCGGCGGTGTCCATAAGGTCGATACTTTCTTACTCTTGATGCCTGTGAGTGAGAGAAAGCGTGAGAAAGAAGGTGTGAGACAGAGAGTGAACAAGCGTCTTAGATTCTGTTGCTGTGATTGATTTCTGCAACGTACATGAAAATGACTTTAGGATTCTTAATAGAGTATGTCAAGATAATTATTGATATATCATAATTGTAATTGAAGATATGCTGTATATTCTAAGACAGACAGACAGACAGACAGACAGACAGACAGACAGACGGCAGTGTACCCAGACAGCGTTTACCTGGCAATTAACTATAAGAAAAGCTCTTAGTAAGTTACACATGTTAAAAGCTACAAAACCTGTGGTGAATTCTGGCTATTTTGAGGGGATATTTCAGAGAGCTGTTTCCATTGTTATGTTCGGTTCGGGTTGGCGGTGATTTCTTAATGCATATATTGATAGATTCTGAAACTGAGGGAAAGATTAATACATTGAGAAATATTCCGACGATATTGTTAATTTCACAACAGGACGAGACAGAGAGTGTTTGTTAAGGCAGCGACTGATGAAAGATGATCCAGGTTTAACAAGAACAGGTTTTGTTTTTGTTTTATCAACGTTGGCTACCTACCTCCCACCTTCCTTTAAACTCACACTACACCGACTCGACGAAAAACATTACGTCATAGTTTCTTGATATTCAGTAAAAAGGAAAAGCAAATACTGGGTTGAGACCAATTAGAGGAGAGATGACGCAGATAGGAGGTTACCTGACAGTGGTAGATATTTCTAGAACAAAAGATAAAGAGAAATAAAGATAAAGATAGTGAACATGGCTTTAAGACTTTCAGACCTTAGAGGAATTATAAACTATTTCCTCCCCATAAATGGTTACGGGGGAGGGAGGGTTTTGTGGGGGTGGGGGGGAGGGAGGGGTTTGTGGGGGTGAGGGAGGAGGGTTTGTGGGGGGTGAGGGAGGGAGGGTTTGTGGGGGGGTGGGGGAGGGAGGGTTTGTGGGGGTGAGGGAGGGGGGGTTTGTGGGGTGGGAGGAGGAGGGTTTGTGGGGGTGGGGGGTCAATGTTGTGTGAGGTTTTCCCCGAGCCGAGACATGTTCCCACCACACACAATATTGACTGAGTTTAAGGCCAACACGACTCCAGGTGTTCAGATGGCGGCTAAAAAAATAACTCAGAATTTTTGGGACAAGTGACCAGGTGTCATTTAAATTGCTGAGTGAAATTACCACCAGTAAAAGCTCTATCACATCCATTTCAAGCTTGGTTCTGATTGGCTCATACGTTAACTGCTTTACCTGTGGTAATTATGATACAAAAATTCAAAACTCTTGGGCCGTCATACCTGTCTTGACTTACCTAGTGAGAAGGGACAGGTAAACCTAATTGATTTATTGTAGGGGAATGTATACCTGTCTGTCATCCTTACCTGTGTTGTTTTGAGCTCCTGGACGTGATGGAAGAAGCCTTTACGAGGAGGTTATAAATTATGTCATGTTAGCGAGAGACAATTTGCTACAGAAATAATGATGATTTAGTCTTTTTTTTTAAGATTTCATTACTTTTTTTTTTATTTCGTCAGATTTTTATTAGTTCGTCAGATTTGTGTAATATTTCGTAATTTGTTTAATATTTCTTAATTTTTTCAGATTTCGTCATTGTTTTCAGATTTCGTTAGATATATTAAAGATTTCGTCAGATTTTCAAGCGTGTGTCATACCGAGTCCTAAAAATAAATAATTACAAGTTGTGTTGATAAATGATGGAGAAAATTACAGGGAAGTTTTAAAATGTGATACTGACTGACGACCCTAACCTAACCTAACCTAACCATTTCGATTACTTCAGTCCTGGCTGTAACATCGCCTCTACATTTACTAGATGATAAAAATTCTGCCAATCAAACCTTGAACGTGTTGGACCGTGTTAGTATAGGTTTAACAAGGGATTCTGAGTGTGTGTGTGTGTGTGTGTGTGTGTGTGTGTGTGTGTGTGTGTGTGTGTGTGTGTGTTTTTCTCAAGGGTATGAAAAGTGTGGCACAACAAGAGACATAAACAATTCAAGCCTTTTTGTTTTGTTTTTGCATTGGAACAAAAAACAGGGACTTCTCTCCTTGAACGCAGTATTAGATATGTGTTTAACCCACACTTGGGAGGAGGAGGGGTAGAGTGCGTGAGAGCCTTATAGGGTTGAGTGTGAGTTGAAGTGTGTGTGTGTGTGTGTGGGCATCTCTTACAAGTCCATAGTATACTGTTGAGAAATAAAACAAATTGTAATGGAAAATAAAAAAAAATTCTCTGGTTGTATTATAATTTTTGGATAATATTTTCTTCCTGAGAATAATTTTTTGGATCTTTTTAAAATATCCAAATTTTTCTTCATTGAATAAAATTTATCTATAAAATAAGTAAAACATGGAATGAGATTAATACTATTTCGAAAGAGTTACAATAGTGTTGGTATACAAGTCGTGATCCAACCCGGAGATAAACTAACTCTTTATATTTACATTTTGTTAGGTGTATAAAAGGACAGTGTGTTTGCCTGAGTGGCCCATGAATGGATAAAGAAGTCTTGAATACTGACATGTCGTACACCGTTTCTGGGTCGTTGTGTTGTCGTCCTCGCCCTGGTCTTGTAAACACGACTCGTTCTTCAGGTCGAGAGAGAGAGAGAGAGAGAGAGAGAGAGAGAGAGAGAGAGAGAGAGAGAGAGAGGAGAGTTTCTCCCACGACATCAACAATATCATGTTTTACCGAATGCTGACTCAGATTACATAACAGATTTTGGTCTATTTAATAGAAAAAATCTGGTTTAGGTGGATTTTTTCGTACTGTAATATTAACCTAACCTAACCTGTGAAAAATATAACTACAGGTATTAATAGTGAATTATAATATAATATATACCGGTAAATGCTGCTGTAATATTTCGTTCATGGCGATTATAAAGTTCTGCTCTGGATTAATCGTCGGTGAATAAAATTGAGACTTTTTCATATATATGGAAATTTTATGACAAAACTGACAAAACTCCAGTGTCTGTTTTTTTTTGTTTTTTTTTTATTTAACTGTAATGCTCGTATTTGGGATTCGATTCATAATTGGGCGTTGATGATCCAGTGTTAATTGCTGTTTTTGGAAAATTAAATATTAATGATTGGTAAATACTAACACCCAGAGCTCAAATTTCACCAGTTGAGAGAATTATCATAATTATCCCACTGTTGAAAATTTACGTAAGGGAAAATAATTTAATATCTATACATAAATCCGTATATATTGAGATCACGCGAAGATTAGCTTCCCCTCCGGCTTATTTCACCTGGTGATTAACCTGACCTAACCTAACATTGGCCTGACCTGACCTAACCTAACATTGACCTAACCTGACCTGACCAAAACCTAACATTGACCTCAAACCAACCTGACCTAACCTAACATTGACCTAACACAAGTTCCTAATTGCCTCTAACTACTTCAGAAGGCGTTGGCGGTGTCCCATAGACTAGGGTGAAGGTATTGCCTCCTGTCCTGGTATATTTCTCAATGAATAACAACTTTCATTTCCCAGAACGAAATAATACGAATAAATCAAGGCCGATATTTGCAAACTTTAGTGCTGGGGGAGGGGGGGGGTTGGGGGGGGGTGGGATTAAGGATTTATGTCTTCATTGGCGAGGAATTGTGGCCTGGGATTTCTTTTTCAGCGGTGGCATGAAAAAAAATAAAACACATTGAAAGAAGCGATTCAGGTCTGTTTCACACTGAAGTTGTTGTCTTCCTCCTCCTCCTCCCTCTTTCCTTCCTCCTCCTCCTCCTCCTCCTCCTCCTCCTCCTCTCCTCCTCCTCCTCTTTCCTCTAATCCTCCTCCTCCTCCTCTCTTCTCTCTCTCCTTCCTCCTTGGACTTTAGAACCTCAAATCTGAGGTTCTCTTTCCTTTCCTTCCTTCCTTCCTTTCCTTCCTTCTCCAAGAAACCAACATCGGCATTAACCGTTTAAAAACTTCAAGTAATAGAAGCCGCCCTCATACCTGCGTCCTTATACCCACCCTTACACTTTTCCCCACACCCACCCTCCCACTCACCCCCCTCCCCACACCCACCCCCACCCCCACACCCCCTCCCCACACCCACCCCACACCCACCACACCCACCCTCACACCCACCCCTCACACCCCACACCCACCCCCACACACCCACCCCCACACCCACCCTCACACCCACCTCACACCACCCTCACACCACCCTCACACCCACCCTCACACCCCACCCCTTACACCCACCCCTACACCCACCCCCACACCCACCCCACACCCACCCCTCACACCCACCCTCACACCCACCCTCACACCCACCCCACACCACCCCCTACACCCACCCTCACACCCACCCCTTACACCCACCCCCTTACACCCACCCTTACACCCACCCTCACACCCACCCCTACACACCCTTCCACCCACTTCCCACCCACCCCTCACCCCTACACCCACCTCACACCACCCCCTCACACCCACACCCCTTCACCCACCCTCACCCACCCCTCACACCCACCCCTCACCCACCCCCTCCACCCCACACCCACCCCTCACACCCCCCTCACACCCACCCTCTCACACAGCACGAAAGTACTTACCAGTGAGAACTTCCTCTCCTCTACCTCCCTCTCCCCCTCCCCCTTCTTGCCAGGGTGATGAGGCCTTCTCGTTAGTTAGAGCGATGCCTACTAACGCTGAAACTTTCTAAGGAATCTACAAGGAGTCTTAAAGGTTCCTAGAGAGAGAGAGTCAGGAGGCAGCAGCGAGGCTTCTAAACCACCAAAGGTAGAATATTACTCATGGTGGAACTGGTATTTTGTCAATACTACTCGTGGCTGTAACTCGTGAAATATTACCACTGGAGGAAATATCGGTATTCTGATATTGCTCTTGGTTATGACTCGTGAAATATTAGTACTGGGGGAGGTATTATATTACTCGTGGCTGTAACGCGTGAAATATTACCACTGGAGGAAGATTTGTTATTCTGATATGACT